TGCCGGCCCGCTAAGCACGACCAAAATTACGGGTCGTGCCAGTCCACGACCCGTTACCCTTGCATTCATAGAATCAAACATAATCAATGTTGAAATGTCCAATATATTCACACTTTCATACTTTCATTTCATTCACAAAATCATACGGATACAGAATCAAAGTCCAAATATCCGATACATTCACAGTCCAACAAAGATATCAAACTCCAAAGCCAATAGATAACAGAAATAACCAAAATGAGTTGTTTAGTACAATGCTGTCTCATTAAAAACATTTCTAGATAAAATTAACCCTCATGAGAAACCCTAAAAAAAAGAGTGCAGCCAGCTCTTAATTAAGTCTTACAAACCATTGTTCAAATGATAGACAAATCTTTCACAATCACACTCACTCTTTCACAGTCACAGATCACACTCACACTCTCAAGAGTCAAGTCTCAACCTCACTAAGTACCAGGAGCACCACCACCAGCTTTATCTTCATCAAGGTACAAGTTTTGCAATGAGTCTTCCAGCTCTTGGTTGTCAACATCATGTTGTTCTCTTTTTTTTCTCCTAACTCCTAGTCATTTATGCAGGTCAGCATCTCCACAGTCTCTGGTGACAAGCGTCGTCGCCGTTCCTCAATTATCTTACCTGTCAAACTAAAATAAGACTCAAAAAGATATAGGAATTGATATGATATCTCTAGTCATTATAGATAGGATTGGAAAGGTTAGCTTGTGGTCACGCCATCACAGAAATAGGTCAAAATCATTCTTATAAGAAGTGACATTGTCACTGTTTAAGTAAGCTGAGAACTCACAAATAGCAGAAAGTAGATGAAGATGAAGTGGCAGGGAGAGGGGAAGGACCAACAACACTTGATCCACGATCAAAGATTCTTCCCCATGCCTGCTTTTTCTTACTTGTGTGATGTGATGGTTGTGCAACCCTTTGAGACCTAGCTACACCAAACTTGCTTTCAGACCTATACTAGCTTTTGACATCAAAGATAGTATGAATTGTACTCACCAATTCACTAAGTAATTGTAGCACATCCTCTCATATTTGTTAAGAATGAATGCATATAGAATATAATAGATATACAATTTTAAAGAATTTAAGCTTCATAGATATATAATAGCTCTCGAGATATTGATCTTTTTCATATGCATACAACTGAGAAGCTAGGATATAGTGCGAACAAGTGGACTTGTAGGATAATAAACATCGAAGCGAATTGGAGTCATAGAAGAGTTTCAGAACTCCATGTAACTCACCAAAAATAATTTTGTAGTCAACAATTGTCTCACATTAAATGAAAGGTCTTATCTTAGCTCTAGGATCAAGAATGAATGCATATGAATATAATAGAGATATGTTGAAAAAAGCCTGATCAATATTTTTTTTCTAAGATTTCTAGTTTAATCAAATGGCCGATTGCCCGAGGATATACAATATATTTTAGATAGCAGATTTCTTTGAACTATTCACGATCTTTTCATCAAAATCAACCATACAAATAAGAAGCAATCTCTAGGATATGGTGAAGAACAAGTGGACTTGTAGGATAATAAATACCGACATCGATATACCCAACAACGCAGCGGCAACAACCAGACCAAATTTCCGCCGATGATCAGAGTCATCGCGGAAGAGATCTCCAAAGACTGTTCCTCAGCGATGAAGAACTCCAATAACTCCTCAGCAAAATATCAATGATTTGTAGTCAACAATTGTCTCACCTATACCTAATGGAAGGTCAAGGGCTAGCAATCAACCGACACAACTCAGATCGATGACAACACACCCAGAAGATTGTTAGTCCAACGACGAGCGGCGGATGAGGGACTGCACACGGGTCATGAACTCCATTCACCGAGAGCGAGAGGTCGAGAGATTGAAAAGAAAGGAGAGTGGAGACGAAATGGTCCTAGATCGAGGTCACCGGAAACCTCATGAGCGGATTCGCGGATCGTGGATCATGCCTTTTTTACTACAAGATTTAGGGTTATGGTTAATTAAATGGCCGGTGCCACTAGAAGATATATGCGGAGGGGCGCCCGGCGCCAGTACTCTTACATATTTTACAGATAGCAGCGGTTCGAATTTTGAACCATTCACAGTCCGGGCATCGTCGTCTTCAACAGTCTGCGTCCCATCAACGGGACGTTTTCTCGTCCCCAGGGACACCGGAGCGCTGTTGAGCAGGCCCCGTCCCGCATCGAGATGAATGAACAGGGAAAGGCGCCGACACGGTGATTAAAGAACGGGAACCGACCAAGATCGTGCTTCCAAGCGTGGCCAAGTCCCGCCACTTGCACAGTTGCACTACCCAACTCCGGCCGTTACCATGGCAGCTTCCCGGGCCGTCTCAACGTGGTGGAAAATAAATTAACCCAGCGACCGACCCCAAAAGCAAGCAAGAAGCTGCAGAGGTTTGGGTAGGTCGTCCTCGCCGCGATGCCCGTACACTGTCGAGTCCTTTCCCTGTCGCCAATTACTAGTTTTTTTTTAATGCGCGCAAGACACGCTCTGGGCATCTGGTGTGGTGAAGACAGCGGCAGGCTTTTGGTTAGGTCCGGTAAGTGATACAGTACAAGTAAAGCTCCAAGCGAAATCCCAGCCTCACGCACGTTGATGCTGTTATTTTCTGACAAATGGCTCTGCAAGTCTGCGCTGACAGTGTAGCATTGTTTGTCAAGCACCGGATTGGATCCGCCCTGAACCTCTATGATCGATCACTACGGGTCTACTACAGTTTAGCATGGAGCTGCGGCCCGTTCGGCTTACTGAATCTTGACTGAAATTAAGTGAAAAACACTGTTTTCTAACTGTAATATTATGAGAGAAAAAAATTATTCCGACTGAAAAAAGAAGCCGAACAAGCCGGATATGGGATAAGCCGATAAGCTTTCTATGACCGTGCAGTGCAATAGTAAAGCCGCGGTATGAATCTTGCATGGTTAAAAGAATCGCCCATACCGCAAGGTGTTTAGCGAGATTTTTTCCATTCTTGACCACTGAGAATCTGATTTTCAGTCTGTTCGCTAGTTGGTTTTTGGGCTGATAAGCCCGACTGGTGTTGTTTTGTTGTGAGAGAAAAATATTGTACCATGACTAATAAACCCTGGTTAAAACCAACAAGCGAACATGCTGTTTAATGGATTCTAAACAAGACCTGAGTTCAAACTCAAACTATTAAGATTCACTAAGCTCTATTACCGATACCTTTTACAATAAAAAATTATACTGCAAAATATATGTTATGATTTTCCTTTTGAAACACATGAAAACGCTCGAGTTAGAGACTTTGCTGCCGAAGCTATATAGGCTTGAGCTAAACCACACGTATAGGTTTTATAATAAATCTAATAATGCTTATTCCAATATTACCATATTATTACATAAATTTAGTTAACTTTAAAATAAATTTGGTCCGTACTAAGTAGAATTGTATAGTAGCACCAAACTACGGATGAAAGCGGGACTAGAAGATATTGGTTACCAAGGCTTGTTTTCGAGGTTTTACTGTGCTTTTGACTAAAACAAAATCGGCAGTGATAACTGTAAATATAACGGTGTTTACTGTTGCCAACTGTGTAAGCGTGTTACCGTATTTATGCGGTAAAATACCACGATATTATACTGTTTTGTCGATATTGTATCATTTCCATTTTTGATAGAGAAATATGAAACTTAGAAAGTGATGGAGCCTTCCTCTAATTGTTTTTTACCATTTTCACCCCCTGTACCAAACTACTAAACAAAAACGTGTTATGTATCTGGGACCGAATGATCATTTTGACCCCTTAGTTCAACGCTCAATTTTGTCTCTAAACTTTCAAAATTACCATTTCAGCCCTCAATTTTTTATTGGGTTCAGTTTCATTCTAGAATTATCAAAATGACCGTTTTAGTTCTTAAATTTTGTATTTTAGACTTAATTTCATGCATGACTATTCATGGATGAAATTGAGCCCAAAGTGTAAAGTTTGAGGGTTGAGATGGTCCCTATAGTCCCGTTCGCTTCTGCTTATTAATAGCCGCTGCGGCTGCAACAATTATAGCCGCTACGGCTGCAACAATTATTGATACAGCAGATTCCAGTTCACGGGATGCAGCCGTAGCCATAGCTGTAGCTCAACCAAATACCCCCTTTGACAGTTTTAGAATGAAACCGAGTATAAAAGTAAAATTTGAGGACCGGCAAGATGGGAAGAAACTGAGCCTAAGGCAATACTTGATGGACTAAAATGACTACTCATTCTATCCTAAAATAAAACATTTAGGATGCATTGGTGAGATCAGTGTTACTATAAAATTACATAATACCTTTATCAAAAGTTGTTCTGTAATAATTATATTTTTGAAAATGGAAAATGTAGCAAAACCTACTAGTAATAGGTGTTTATAGCCTAAATGTACATTATTGTGAGAAAAAAGTTTAAATGTTAGAGGTGTTTTTATTTTGAAACGGAGGCAGTTTTTTTTTTATCGAGGATTGAAATTGTTATAGAAAAATCAAGCATATCCATAAGCCTCTAGCTTCGAAATTCACGACAACAAAAAATGAAGCTATGGTCTTCTATCTTTAGTTCCCACAAGAGCGTAAGGCGAGGCAGCTCATCAACTAGACAGCCTATTTGAAATCTTAAACACCTTGTATGACGCTGTTAATGGTTAAGAAGAAACCAGTCGGTCACTGTGGCCCACTCTACACGACTAGTCGGGTCTCGGGTCACCGGCCGGTCCCAGGCTCCCAGCAAGCAGAAAGCAGTGAGAAAGGGAAAGGCCATCGCCATCGCCTCCATAAAAAAAATGTTAAATTGTGCAGCGTAAAAAGAAGCAATAAGCAGCTCACTCACACTCACACTCACACTCACACTCCTCGCTCTCCTCTCTCTCACTGGAGCTGGAGCGGGGAAGAAGTGAGGCGAGCGGACACGAGAGAGAAGGGGAGGGAGATCAAAGCAAAGCAGCGAGGCAGTTTGAGAGTTCGCCGATCTGCTGCGGGGATGGGGTGCACAGCGTCCAAGGTGGAGCAGGAGGACACGGTCCGGCGCTGCAAGGAGCGCCGCCGCCACATGAAGGACGCGGTGGCGGCGCGCCAGCTGCTGGCCTCCGCGCACGCCGACTACCTCCGCTCCCTCCGCGTCACCGCCGCCACGCTCTCGCGCTTCGCGCAGGGCCACCCCTCGCTCGCCGTTTCGCACCACACCGCCCCCGTTCTCCTCTCCGCCGCCGCGCCGCCGCCTGCTCCAAGCGCCGCCCACGCGCTCCCCACACCGGCGCCCTCCACCTCCACGTCGTCATCGCTCCCGCCTCCGACGCCGCTCGCCCAGCACCCGCACCCGCCCCCGCCGCCCCAGCCCCAGGTGCAGCCGGCGCCGGCGAGGGCACCACGCCCACGGCGGCTCAGGGTGCCCCACATCCTGTCGGACTCCAGCGTGGCCAGCCCCGCGCAGTCGTCATTCCGCAAGCAGCCGCCGGTGGGCACGCCGTCCTCCTCGTCCGCGTGGGACTGGGAGAACTTCTACCCGCCGTCGCCGCCAGACTCCGAGTTCTTTGTCCGCCGCAAGGCCGAGGTCGAGCAGGCCAGCCGCCTCCGGGAGCTCGACGAGGAGGAGAAGGCCCGGGCCTACCTCCACCACCACACTCACTACAACCTCAAGGAAGAAGACGAGGCCGCCGAAGACGACGACGGTGAGGTGGACCATGAACCAGAGGGGATGCATTGCGGCGGATGGGAGGACGACGAGCACTACGCGTCCACGACCACGTCGGAGACCAGATCGGAGGACGAGGGCGAGATGGGGGACAGATCGGAATGCGGGTTCGCGGCCAGATCGGAGTGCGGGTTCGTGATCAGATCGGAGTACGGCGGGACGGCGCCGTCAGAGTACGCCGCCGTACCATTGCCCCTGAGGAGGGATGAGAGGTCGGAGGCTGGCGACTCCTCCTCCACGGTCACGGCGGCGACAGAGATGCGGATGGTGGTGCGCCATCGCACTCTCGCAGAAATCGTGGCGGCCATTGAGGAGTACTTTGTCAAGGCAGCCGACTCCGGCAACGATGTGTCGGAGCTCCTGGAGGCCAGCCGCGCACAGCTCGACCGCAACTTCCGGCAGCTCAAAAGTATGAGAACACAAACTATGGCTCAAAAATGAAAATGTGATTCAGATTGTTGTTCTGCTTTGTGTTTAACTGAATATGCAATGGCTTGTGATTTATGGTTTAGCTGTTTTACTTACTTTGATTTCTTCTTTTGCAGAGACGGTGTACCACTCCAACAGCGTGCTATCAGCATTGTCGTCGACTTGGACGTCAAAACCGCCATTGGCTGTACGATACAAGCTGGACACTAATGCACTGGAGATGGAGTCAACGGAAGGGAAGAGCCATGGATCCACTCTAGAGCGGCTTTTGGCTTGGGAGAAGAAGCTCTACGACGAGGTCAAGGTAATTTTGCTCCTCTGTTGATGGTTACTTGGACATTGATGATTCTCATATTCAGCATTCAAGTACTGGAACAGCACCCAAATTGAGATGTTGTTTGCTATGAAAATTGCCGGTTGTCACCGTCATTACTTTGTCAGTGAAACATCTTGGGACTATCAACTTGGCTCCTCTTGATAATGATCCAACTTCATTACCTGGAGCAAGTGACGTCAGCCGTCACATTCTGCATCCACCTTTATTGTGCATGGAAACAATGCGTATGCACATATAATGCTTGAATAATGGGCAAGGTCTGCATCTTTGCTCTTGAAAGACCCATGACCCTGGCAGCCATTGGACTCTCAAATGGTATTGTAGGGCTATCAATCCATCAAAGACCAAGGACATGGCTGAAGCGTTTTAATCCTTTTGCTAAGAGATATCTCCATCGCTTTATTAGGGCTGTGCTAATGAACCTTGCGAAAAGGGTAACTAGAAATTGTAACTATTGGATTGAGCTAACCTGTTCCATATTTGATCCTTTTATTCAGAAAATGTGAAAGGAGAATCTGATTCTGTTGCATAAAGTGTCTTTGGAGAGGTGCATTTTCTGACTTTGGAACTGCCAGAGTCTTTGCACAATAGTTTTAACTACTTTTAGGAAAGGCAGCAAGCACTCTACATTGCAATTGACTTCTTAACCACCACCTTCATATTCTCTTCCCTTTTTTTGCTCTATTTGTTTCTACAATACTCTTGTCCTTCAAATTTTTTATCTACTCTTGTCCTTCAAATTTTTTATCTATGAAGGTACAGATGCTCAAGAAATTGTCTTTTTCTAGACATAATATATCCCTGTAATGCCAAAATTAGATTTAGCATATCTTTGTCTTTACTTTAACAAATTGATGGTATTACCTTCTGCAGCTTTAATTAAAGCTTCTTGCATTACATTCCACTATTTTGGATGGATGAATCCAAAGTGGTGGAATTGATCTTCAGTGTCAAGGCTGCTACAGTCGAAGTCCTTATGTTCATTAAGCCGTTTCTTGAGCCAGTATCTGACATATAGATCAATTTTAATTGCTGCAGGCAAGAGAGAGTGTGAAGATTGAGCATGAGAAAAAGCTTTCTACTCTGCAGAGCCTGGAGTACAGAGGGAGGGATAGTGCAAAGCTGGACAAGACCAAGGCCTCCATAAACAAGCTGCAATCACTGATTGTAGTTACCTCACAGGCTGCCACAACTACATCCTCAGCTATTGTTAGAGTCCGTGACAATGAGCTTGCACCACAGCTTGTTCAGCTCTGTTTTGCGTAAGTCTTATGTCCATTCCAACATCCCTAATTCCAGATCATGTGGTCCTGCTCTCAAGTACTTAACTGTTTCTGAACATTAACATGCAGGCTATTGTGTATGTGGAGGTCAATGAACCATTTCCATGAGATACAAAATGAGATTGTTCAGCAAGTCCGCGGTCTGGTGGACAACTCCATGGCTGAGTCAACATCTGACCTTCACAGGCTTGCAACTCGTGATCTTGAGGCTGCTGTTGCGGCATGGCACTCGAACTTCAACCGCCTTATCAAGTACCAGCGTGACTACATCCGCTCTCTATATGGCTGGCTGAAGCTCACACTCTGCCAAGTGGATAACAGTGTGCCACAGGAAGCCCATGCCTCAATGATCTCGCGTGAACTCACCAGCTTCTGTGACGAGTGGAAGCAAGCACTAGACCGTCTTCCAGATGCTGTTGCTTCAGAGGCGATCAAGAGCTTTGTGAATGTTGTTCATGTCATTTACATTAAGCAGGCAGAGGAGATGAAGATCAAGAAGCGGACAGAGACATTTTCAAAGGAGCTAGAAAAGAAGACCAACTCACTCAGGTCCATTGAGAAGAAGTACTACCAATCCTACTCGATGGTCGGCCTTGGCCTTCCTGGCAGTGGGCGCGATGGCATTGAAAGCCACGCGTACGATGCTCGTGATCCTCTTGCAGAGAAGAAAACTGAGATTGCTCAGTGCCGTCGGAAGGTGGAGGACGAGATGACAAGGCATGCTAAGGCCGTCGAGGTAACAAGGTCAATGACGCTGAACAACATACAGACAGGCCTGCCAGGAATATTCCAAGCCATAGCTGGTTTCTCAGGGACAGCGGTTGAAGCTCTTGATGTGGTGTGCCGCCGAGCTGGGTCAGTGCGGTAGAAGCTCTTGCTCCATCAGAATTACCAAGAGACCATTTGCTGCCTCTTTTTTTCTGGGTGATTCAGTAATTTATTTATATAGGGAAACTGCAATATATAATATATATAGCTCAAAGTAGAGTGATGAAATATAGAAGGCTCCTTGGATGTTTTGCCCTGTCAGGATGGTTTCAGTTGTAGATAATGTGATTTTGCCCAGGATTTATTGGTCTCGTTTCACCCTTTTCTGGGAAGTGCTTTGGTTTTTTGAGAGGAAAACACTTGTTGGGAGATATAATGTACTGACATTAAGGTCACCTTGCACTCTAGCGTTAATCAAGCCTGTGCTTCTGTCTAACAAAAGCTCTAGTGCCCTACTTTCTTTATATGTTATGTACCTGAGTGTTCTTTGAAGTAGATTCCTGTTTCCCGTGGGTTGAAAATTCTAGGGTCCGTACTCCGAACTGGACTGCCGGCTTGTGCATCTGTGCTGCTGTCTGCCTGCCTGGACTCAGGAGTGGTTGCATATGCATTGGTCTCTTCCTGTTCCCTGTTGGACCATACCATCTGTTCTCTGCCGTCGTCGTTGCCGTGCTGCATTAGTTGTTCATGATAATCCAGGTTTGCAACAGCGCCCATTTCTCTTGTTGGCTTTACACGCCGATCCCACGGTTTGTTCAGGGCCTTCCTGGAAATCTTGAAGTCCATTTTGGGTGTCTTTACTCTTTAGCGCTAATGCAGCCAAGTTATATGGCTTTGATAGGCGATCAAGGGGCAGGCCGCTAGTCGCCAGCTGTTGCGGCCATGTCCCACACTGTCCGCACTCCGCCGCAGTAGGCAGCACGGCCTTTCCTTCCTTCCGAATCGCAATCACCGCTTGCCCTCTTCAGCAACACGGGCACAGTGGAGAAGAAGAAGAGCGGCAAAGCAAGGCTGGCATTTTGGACCTATCCGGCTGCTGGGCAAAGCCAGCCGTCCCTTTTGATGCATGACTCCGTGGCACGAAAAAGTAGTTGGCATTGAGTCACCTACGGGTCCAGGACATGATACCCATCCTTAGGATCGATAGCAGGACGGAGGTCGGGACTCGGGAGGAGAAAAAAGCCAGGGTGCGACCCAACATGTGTGCTTGACACCTTCCGCTCCAAGTTCAGTGACTGGAATTTGAGAATGCTCTTGTTGACACTTATTTGGATCGCATATCAATAGGGGCTAGCAACGGCGAGGCCGACCAACAGGTCGACGAGGCCGATCATGCGCTTGTTCTTCGGCCGATAAACGCACAAATGTCTCTCTGGAAGATCCGTCGAGGTCTCGAGGAGACCCCGAGGCTATTTTACGATCGGCCACCTAGAACGCCGACTATCTCGTCGATAGATGCGCCGGACGGTCAAGGGTTGGAAGAGCTTATAAGATATAGAAGATAGAAGATAAAAAATAAAAGATATGTTTTTTTTGTCGATTATGTGTTGAATCTCTCAATTGGCCATCACCTCTATATTTATATGAGGCGGCTGGTCTTTTCTATGGAAGCACAAGAATATATTTCAGAATTACAGTCATAATAACGTTTCCTTGTGCTGTTGCCGATAAGCCAAAGCAATAAACGTCTGCCCATAGCTTCCTCGTGATCGCTTCACAGTTGCCATATCTGATTTCAACCAAATAATTTGCTTTCCTTGCTTGAGGATACTGAACGTACCACGCTTGGACTCCTTGTCAGATTGGCCTGTACAGAACCGTAGGATGTACGGCTTGGCGTATATCAGGTGCATGAAACAGCAAGTAATCCTGCCTGTATGTTTTTTCTCCTCAACGCGAACAACCAGGCACGTGCTCACATTTTTCAGCACTTAGAAAATCTTTTAAGCAATTTATACAGATCATCAACTAGCTCAAATAATCGGTCAGCAGTCCGATTAATCAAACTAGTGTGTTTATTATAACCAAATAATTTAATCTGGCAAATTTGAGTGTCAACAGCTCTCTATCCTTATTAACCTGCCTAGCCTTAAGGGCTGGCCGAGCAAGGGTCCAGAATGCCTGGTGCTGAAGTGCATAGAGAATCTGGGAACGAATAAAGAGTGATCTATGATATCTATAGGTAGGCGGCCCGTGTCCGCAACTATAGGTTGGTTCACCTTTCACAGGGCTGCCATAGTACCAGCAGTGCACCTAAGGAGCTTCTATTGGTAGTGGTCTAGTGGAGTACAGTAAGGGTAAGCAAAGCTAGCAACTTGGCAAGCTCTCATCAGTCATCAGGCCTCAGCTGCTGCTACTGCTTATTCTTCTGTAACTTACCACTGTCGTTAAGCGAGTAGCACTATGTATGATGGACATAGACTCCAGAGCCATCAAGAAAGAAAGTTGTGGTCCTGATGGACTGGTATCAATCTACAATAATTGCTGAGCAGCAAGGCTTATGAAGTTGTAGAAATCTGCATCTTTTATGCAACAAAACAGTTGTCTACAAGGACTTGCGTGCCTTTTTTTTATAATGGAAGGCGTTATATTTGTGTCCTGTACTCTTTTTTTTTTTTGAGGATTGTATCCTGTACTCTTGTGTGATCTACCAACAGCAACGTGAATGGAGGCAGCGACTAAAGATTTGTTGTAGCAGGAGCGAATTTGGGTGAGGTACTGATTAGCCCAATTCACTGTCCCATTCCTTTTTAGCGGGCCGGTGCACGTGAACTATGGACAACATGCACACCCGTGAGGCCGTGACCCATAAATGGGCTTAAAGTCATAGAGGCCCACTTAACGTCCAAAGCCTGGGAGTGCGACTCTGGGGGACCAAATTCTTTGAATTTGGTTCAAATCGGTAAGTGCAATCCAAGGTTCTTCCACAAGATAGAAGATGTTAGAGTAAAATGCATCCATGGTCCTTAAATTATTACCGCCTTCCCGTCTAGGTCCTCAAACTAAAAAAGCGACTATTTGGGTCCCTGAACTATTGTCGTCATACACCAATGGTCCAAGACCTGCCACGTCCGCACACAGCATCCAAAGTGGCGGTGCCACAGTGGCAGCTCGACGACGTGGCCATGATATCTTCTAAAAAAACCTGCCTCCTCGTCCGTCTGTTGCTCCCTCGTCCGCATGGCATGGCGCCTCGCCCCTCGCCCGCCTGGCGGCGGCACTTGCTCGTGCGCCCACCTAGCGGCTGCGGCATCCAGCCCGTGCTCTCTTGCCCACGCACAATCATGGAGATTGCTGCCGGCAGCACGGAGGTGGCAGCTGCGGGGACACGGCGGTGGGCAGAGCGTCGCTGCCCGGGCACGCACGCCCCACGGCGTCCATGGCAAATCGCGAGCTCGAGCCCGGCGGTGGCACATCGTGAGCTCGCGCCCAGCGACCATGGCGAACATGCCCGCGATGAGAGCCATCGGCGAACGTTACCTGCCCATCCTCACACAAGCACTAGATCTGCGAAATGCAAAGCAAAGATCGATCACATTAGTCAGGTCAGGTGACACCAGGATGCTAGCTGGATCAGGTGCAGGTTGTTGTTCCTGGACAGAGCTTTCCTCATGTCGGAGACAACGGTGGCGTCGTCCATGAACTTGACGCTGATATGCACCTCTCTCGCCACCTCGCGGAGCTACAGCGTGATCTCCTTGTCACTCTCTCCGAGGCCGACAATGCTGAAGGAGTCCGGGACGCGGTACAAGTGGGAATGCAGCTGCCTCCTCGTCCACTTGTCCATACCGCTGATGGTTGGGAGTCTTGGCTGGGCGTACTGGCCGGAGGCCACGACGACAGGGTCGAACACCTCTTCCGCGATGACCACCTCGCCGTCACAGTCGATCACCATGTCTCGACGAGCACCTCACTGTCCAGCGCATCATGCCATCGTCAGCTATGCGCCGCGCCGCCGAGCCGACGTCTGAGACCTTGGTGTTGAGCTCGACGACGTCGTTCATGAGCCCGAACACATCACGAAGTCCTCGATGTACACGAGGTACTTTCGTGACCGTGACCGAATGCCGGCGGCGGCGTGGCGTTTCAACCAAGGCGGAGCCAATGGCTACTAACCAGGCATACCCGGTCACTCCTTGTTTCTCCAGGAAGAATCGGAACGTGAAGTCCCGATGCGAGTAGTTACTCGGGAACCTGTCCTTGCGCTCCTTGCTCAACGCCAGGATGGAGTCGAACTCGAAGTCGGAGAAGCCCATATGCTATCCCTAGGCACGTTGAGGCGAGACGCCATTGTGTATCGCCGCGGCCAGCGCCGACACGAGAGGATCGTGGCGTCGGTCTTGGGTTGTATAGCCAATGCTCGCTCATTGCGCTCTGCTCCCATGATCGTGGCCCTCGCGGTAGATACCAGCCGGAGACGCCGGCGCCGACCACGCTTCCATGGTTGCGGCCCCGCAAAAGCGGCGACGCACCTTCGTGGCCCGCGCCTTACGCCGCCTTGGATGGAGAGGAGGGACTTGGGAGTGAGTAAGAGTACGTGGCGGGGTTTGTTTTAGAAGGTAGTATGGCCATGTCGTCCAGCTGTCACTCAGGCACTGCCACGTTAGATGTTAGTGCTGACATGGCAGGTTTTAGACCATTGGTGCACGGTGACAATAGTTCAGGGACCTAGATAGTTGCTTTTTTAGTTTGAGGACCCAGATGGGAAAACTCAAAAAGTTTAAGGACTCTGGGTGCATTTTACTCAAGATGTTAACTAGCAGCTTGCGATGCGCAGGCATTTTTGGCCCATCATCAAGTCAAGGGAGAATAACAAGCCTAGAGCGGTCCATTTCCAGTTCTTCTGTACTTCCGCTTGTCTCACACTCTCGAATTTGATGGCGCTATCCCATCCCATTAAAAAAGGAAGAATCTGACGGCCCTACACTGCCGGCCTATTCGCTGGTTGGTTTCTAGACTGGTTTGGACTGACTGGTGCTGGTTTATTGTGAAAGGAAAACACTGTTGGCTGGCTGGTTTGGGCTGGCTGAAACCAACATGTGAACAGGGTGTGCATATGCTAACCGCGAATGCATTTTATTGTCTTTTTTTACTTCCCAC